GTGTATATATTAATGTATTTATATATATATTATATATATATATATATATATATATATATATATATATATATATATATATATATATATATATGTGTGTGTGTGTGTGTGTGTGTGTATGTGTGTGTGTGTGTGTGTGTGTGTGTGTATGTATGTGTGTATATATATGGTTTAAGATAGTTTTATATGTGTTTATTTTGATGTTTTATCCTCTCTTTTTTTTTCTTCATCTTTTATCTTCCCCTTCTCTCCCAAATGTATACATACTTTACAGTTATGATCATATATGTTAGCTCTGAACACTTTCAGGTCTTTAAAGATTAAGTACTTGGAATATTTAAGTTGTGTATATTGTAGTTATGTTGTATACATGCATTTAAGTATAATCACAAATGCATGCACATGCACACAGATACACACAAGCATGCACATATACATACATGCACACAAACAGACACACACACACTCACACGCTCACAAACACACACACAAACACAATTGTTTTGATATCCATATTATTTTATATTTTATGTAGAGTATGCTTTTTTATATTTCTTTTTTTTTTTCACTTTTATTATGATAATGTGAATATGGCAGAGGATATGAAGAGGATAGTGCTCAAAGGCAGCAAAGAACAGATAGATGCGGCCAAATCACTGATCTTAGAGAAGGTACAGTCTGGCATTGTTTGACATGCGGCTACTGGGAGTCGGGTTGCTGTGAGCTAACACTACTAACCTCTCTCTATATTTTATTTTATTTTATTTATGTATTGCTTTTTTCTTAGATGCTGTTATTATGCTTTTTTGTGTATATGGTTGGATTTTTTTTGCGCTTTTGCTTCATGGTGGCTTTTGTGTTGTAGAACTGTATTTCTTGCAGAGAAGAAATGTGAAAAATGATGATTGTAAATGTGTCAGATAATTGACTATTATTGTTGGTATAAAAGGAAATGCGGAAAAGATTTTTGTTTTCATGTAAATGTTATAATCATTGTAAAGTGGTCATTTGAGGTTATACCTTTAACCCATTGCCGCCGGGGAAAATGAATAAAAAATGGGTAAAATGCTGTACTCATTTTTTATATTTTTGTGAAATATCTCTGTACATAGATGGCTCTGCTAGTCCTGATTTGACCTTTCCTTGAATGGGCAGGAAAAAAGTATTCTTAGTAGTGCTATAAATATAGATGGTGTTATTTTTAACTGCAAATTAGGATAACGTTAAATATTTTCGAAAATCGATGAAAAGGGTGAACGGGCAAGACAGGCAGTTCTCGTAATTGGCTCATTGATGACTTAGTACAAGTGTAGCCATCTATGTGTAAAAACAATCAAACAAGTCGACTCACAGTCTGCATGGCATGCACGTATATGCCATCCCCGGCGGCAATGGGTTAAGTAAGTTTGTTTTATAGAGAATGATATTTGAAAGTTTTACTGAAACGTGTATTGATTAAGTATCTGATATAGAAAATGCACTATTTAAGTAATTTATAATAGGTGGTGTCACTTCATCTATCTGTTTTGGAAGCATCATTGACATCTGTCCAACTTAATTGCATCTGTTTCAGTATTTGAAGATGCCTGTCTGTGAAATATGCTTTGTCCACTTTCTCTAATCACTTCTTCACCTTTTTTTTTGATAATATCAATTAATTTATTTTTTTTAAACCCTTATAACCCCACTACGCACCTCAAATTTTTCTCGATAAGTGGCAAGACATTAAAGTGGGGTAACTGAGGATGTAGACTTCTAATATGTGATCTGAAAGTCTGAGACATACGTTAGCACTATGTGGAGTAAAGGTGTTTCTGTGGCTTCCTAACTTATTTATCTATCGCAATAAAGTCCTGTGCATTTTTGTGTTATTAAGAACTCTAACTGCACCCTTCCTTAAGCAGAACTTTTGGCTTTTATTTAAACTATATGGCAATCTAGCTGGTTGTTCCCCCTTCCCCCTTAATCTTATCTACCATGATATATTGTAAATTTGGCTGGTGTGTATTTTTTGTATTTGGTTCAAGTATTATGTTTGTTGATTTGAGGAATTATAATTTTTGTTTGATAAAAGAATTAATATTTTATTCCATCTACCTGTATGGTATTGACATGCCTATTAAGTTTTCACATTGTTCACCAGAAATGGGTATATGATTATGATATATGATATGTACCCATGAAACTAACATTTCATTTGCAACAGGTGGCAGAGGAGGAGGAAATGAGACAGCAGATCCAGGCCTCGGCGGTTAACATGTCAATGAGAGCAAGAGGCCGCCAAGCCCCACTGGAAAATGGGGGCAGTGAGGTAAATTGAAGACTATTAACAGTATCATTTATTGTGGGAATTTGAGGCAAAATGAGAAAATAATTGTTTAAATCAACTTTAATTCATAAAGTAATCACTATTTCATTTCACCAGGCAGCTATGAATGGCTCTATGCACCAGGAATGTCTGTCTATGCCAGGTAGTGATCGTTTTATTGAAACATATGTGTCTGCAGTAGACTCGGCTGCACATTTTTGGCTTCAGGTAAATATTCTTGTTGTTAGTTAAATGGTATATATTTTTCCACATTCCTTAGTAATTGCTTATGCAGTTCAAACCTCATGAACTCATCAAATGGCTGTAGCTACAAATAATTCAAGCTATCTGAGCTTAAGAATGTAAAGGATGGACTAAAAATTGATTCTGATATTGGCATTTGTTATTGCAAAGCAGTTGGTAAATATTCTCCTGGTCTTCACAGGTTGTAGGGCCAAGGTCCATCCAGCTAGATAAATTAGTGACAGAAATGACAGAGTATTATGAGGACGAAGACAACCGCGAACTCCATTTACTTGAAAAGGTATGTGGACAAAGTCAGGCTATTGATTCACAGTTGCATATTGTCTTGATTTTTACTTCACTGTTTTTGTGAAACAATGGAAATTGATGTAAGAAGGAATATACAAGCCTTTGAGATAATTCTAGCTGGTAAGAGTGTTGCATTTAAATAGGACTGTGGCTCCTTTCCTTTTATTCATAGACCTGAGCTCAATGGTACATAAATAAACATAAATTAGGACCACATTTGTATTGCTTTACTTCTTGCCATGCTACAGGTGAAGAAAGGTGACATAGTAGCAGCCAAGTTCCCACATGATGACTCGTGGTACAGAGGACAAGTTTGCAGTTATGAGCCCAATGAGGACGACCCTTCTCAGGGGCTGGTCACGGTGTACTACGTTGATTTTGGAGACACGGAAACCATCAAAATGAATTGCGTGTTTGAGCTCAGAACAGATTATCTTAAGCTCAACTTTCAAGCAATTGAATGCTTTTTAGCAAACGTTAAACCTGAGTAAGCATTATGATTATTTTTAGTTGTTGCTCCTTAAAAAAATCCAATATGATAGATCAAAGAAAGAAAAACAAGGCATATTTATTGGAAGGACAGTGCAGTGCATCACTTGGCTAAGTGCCCTTCTAGAGTGCCTTGAATATCGTCTGGTGACATTCAAACAATATCTAGCAGATATTGCACATCATATATATATACTTTCCATTTGGGGTATGAATTTAAGATAGACCTAATTAATATTTCTATGTGACAGAAGTGTGAAAGGAGACGAGGCTGCAGATGCCTTTGAAGAACTGACCTATGCAGCCCAGTGGAAAGTAGTAATGGTGAAAGTAGTTGGTTACCAGCAAGGAGGTGACAAGACTATACCATGCGTCCGTATCATAGACACCAATGGTCCTACAGTAAGTTTTGGAAATTAGTTCTGTGATTGTTTTTCTTTGTATTATGAAGTGATTTTTAAACGTGTATAGAGATATGAATCTGGTTTCCACATAAGAAGTAATGTGATTTTGATAAAAATGTGTCCCCAGCACATATAGGTTATATCTTGATTATGATTTTTCTCTCTCTCTCTCTCTCTCTCTGATCTTTTAGTTTTCAAAACTCCAGATATTTTCATTTTCCTAAAATTGTATTTCATATTACAGGACATTGATGTTGCTGAAGAATTGGTGAAAAGAGGATTAGCAGAATGGACAAATGGGGGACCTTCCACTCCGTAGTCTTATGAATCTACTAATTACTATGAAGATGTGATTGTTGCATTGATTTCAGGTTGCTTTTACTTTAGGTCTGTGACTCCACAAGCATGTGGATCAACCCTTTGTAGAGGGACACAAACAAAGAGAATGTGATGAGACAGGAAGATTTCTCCTTTTGAACATCACTCGGCCCTTTTGTTATTACAAAGCATTTATAGGTTACTCAGGGTAATATAGGTCAGAGAGAATTTAACTAAAGAATGAGGGAAGTAAGAATAATGTATTTGGATTGCATTTGAGGTTCTTGTTCCCAGCACACAAGGGAATAAATGTAAATGTGAAAGAATTTGTCAATATACTTTTCATCTGAAAAATTACTTTTTTGATAGATGTGGAGGGGGTTTTCAGTATATTTGGGAAGTATATCAATATATAGATTTGTATAAAAAAAAGAGAAGTATATTAAGATTGCACTGTTTAACTAAAGAAAAAGAGTTTTATGCATCCTATGTTAGTCTAAGGGGAACTTAGACTAAACAGGCTGAGTGGCAAGTTAAACAGTGCAAAGTTGGAAAGTTTCAAGAGAACACAAGAAGACTTTACCTAAAGTTGACCCATTGGCCATGGGTACATGTACTGTTCACTGTAGTTTTTAGTGAATTTTGTTGCACACAGGTGGGTCTACAAGTACTCCAAGGAGTCAATTAGTAGGCCCAGGTGACTTCACCTGGTTTCCCTGTTCCTGTAATTAGCAGCATTATAAAGTAGTGTGGTAATGACAGGAGTAGAAAGAGGGGGAGTAAATGGGGTAGGATAGGGATTACCCCTCAATGTAATTAATATCAGTTCTGTTATTATTATTATTGATATTATAATGTCATTGAAAATTTAATAACAATAGAGAATTAAAAAATAGTATTTCCAGAAATCAGAAAAAAGGGTAGAGGTGACATAGGTAGGACTAATAATTGACTCCTAAGCACTTGTGGAGCCATCCTTGTTTAAATACACTAAAATTACAGTGGACATAAATGTATACCGTGCCGTCCATAGCCAGTTGGTTGAAAGTAGTGATATATTTGCCTAGACTATTATTCTGCTTTTTTTGTTGATTTTAAAAGCAGTAGATTTGTTAAATTTGTTCCTCTGTGGGTTGTGTAGAAATTGTTTAAAAACAAAAACAATTGGATGATGATGATAAGCTGGGCATGTAAGGTCATGTTTTGATTAAAGTTGTAAGTCAGTATTCATTTAGCTTCGTAACAGAAATTGATAAAGAAATAAGTAAATATATATATATATATATATATATATATATATATATATATATATATATATATATATATATATATATATATATATATATATATATATTTATATGTATATATATGTATATATGATATATGATATGATATATATATGCTGACAGGAGATAATGACAATAATGTACTTATTTTGCAGGAAAGTACTAAGATACTGGCATGGAGTAGTTGGCATAACTGAATTTGAAGATGATAGCCTTACTAATTAATTTTTTGTACCTGTTGATATAAACAAAACACCGTAGTTTAAAGACAAAAAAAGAAAAGACGCCTTATTGGGGTTGTGATACTTTTCCATATCTGATATTTCTATGACCTGAGATCCAGTCTTTCATAGCTTAACTACTGAAATTTTGTACTAACTTTGTGTTCACTTAGGTAAAGTCACATCTGTAAATAAAGAAGAAGAGTAAGTAACTAAAATAACTTGGATGTAGCTTGTTTTTCTTTTTCAGTCAGCCAATTTGAATGAGAAAAATATATTGTAGCATTAATTTAATTGAAGTTAGTGACCTTTTTACCTTTATTATTTGCAAGCATTTAAAGACTTACAGCCATATTATTAACACTTAGATACGAGGGTCCACATTTTCATTACCAGTTTCATATTGCTTAATTATTACATTTGTACATTTTAGTGTTAAACCAGTCACACTCAGAACTGGTATGGAAAATGACTCGATAGATGGACAGTGGTTCTCATAATCCTTAGGTCCAAATGTAGTTAAAAAAAAAAAAAAAAAAGGCAGTCTTGTACTAAGTTTTAATGATATGGACAATGCTGGCTTTGGAAACACAATACAAACAAAAATAGTACTAATCCTAGTCATCTTCAGATTGATACTGAGCTTTAACTTGTGACAGATGATATTCAGGTTTAATGCTTGTTTCTACAATTGTTTTATATGCCTACTTTACTATTCATTGTTCATATTACTTTATGATCTTCAGGGCTGAAGTTCCCTTGGCAAAGGACTTTTTCACTTATAACGGTTATGAATCATCCATATGTCTATATTTGGTGATTTGTCTTCGCTACTTGTACATATGATTAAATAACGTTTGAACTCTGTTGAGTTAGAATTACATGGTGTTCACATAAAGATCTTTGTTTTTACATATCGTAAACAGGTATGATTTTTCTGTTAAGCAACATTAGGATTTTATTTTACGAGACATTTTTTTTCCGGCATAGTTATGATTGATTAATAATTAATAACTGTACACACTGCTGAATGAGGCTTTTTGTTACTTAATACTTTTATGTATTAAATTATGTGGAACACTTTTGAGGAATGTTTTTCCAAAGGAGTAATTTTTTTTTTCTTTTTTTCTTTTCTTTTCTTTTCTTTTCTTTCTTTTGCCTGTTCAGAGCATTTCTGACTTGCATTTCTTAGGTGTATAAATCACACTTTGTTAATAGTTTAATTTGATTTTGTAATTATTTGGTTTGCATATATTATGCAAGTCCTATGTAGCAGAAAGTACAACATTAATACAATAAAATGATTTACAGAATATTTTAGTTTTATACACACCCATCATATTTTTCATCTTCAAGGACCATATTTTTTGGTATAAAATAAGAAATTCAAAAAATGTATATACTGTATATATGCTGATCTGATATATAAAATCTAATCTAATAAAGAGATACTGGCATGGTTCAAGTGTGATTCAATTATGCTTTCCAGTGCAGAGAACCAGTATTTGTGACCCCAGTTACTGTTGGAAAGGTTTCAATAGTGCAGTCACAGTTATAAATGGGCACTGCCTAGGGGGAGTCCAACTCAACTCTGGTAGTCTTTTTGAAATTCTGTAATCACTTGGGAATTTTCTGTATGGTGGTTGGTTAAAATATTTTGCCCCCCCCCCCAAAAAAAAAAAAAAAAAAAAAGAGCAAGTATATTAGGATCTTTATTTTACGAGACATTTTTTTTTCCGGCATAGTTATGATTGATTAATAATTAATAACTGTACACACTGCTGAATGAGGCTTTTTGTTACTTAATACTTTTATGTATTAAATTATGTGGAACACTTTTGAGGAATGTTTTTCCAAAGGAGTAATTTTTTTTTTTTTTTTTTTTTTCTTTTCTTTCTTTTGCCTGTTCAGAGCATTTCTGACTTGCATTTCTTAGGTGTATAAATCACACTTTGTTAATAGTTTAATTTGATTTTGTAATTATTTGGTTTGCATATATTATGCAAGTCCTATGTAGCAGAAAGTACAACATTAATACAATAAAACGATTTACAGAATATTTTAGTTTTATACACACCCATTATATTTTTCATCTTCAAGGACCATATTTTTTGGTATAAAATAAGAAATTCAAAAAATGTATATACTGTATATATGCTGATCTGATATATAAAATCTAATCTAATAAAGAGATACTGGCATGGTTCAAGTGTGATTCAATTATGCTTTCCAGTGCAGAGAACCAGTATTTGTGACCCCAGTTACTGTTGGAAAGGTTTCAATAGTGCAGTCACAGTTATAAATGGGCACTGCCTAGGGGGAGTCCAAGGTGTAATTAGAATCAACTCTGGCAGTCTTTTTGAAATTCTGTAATCACTTGGGAATTTTCTGTATGGTGGTTGGTTATAAAATTTTGCCCCCCCCCCAAAAAAAAAAAAAAAAGAAAAAAAAAAAAAAAAAAAGAAAAAAAAAAAAAAAGAAAAAAAAAAAAAAAAAAAAGAAAAAAAAAAAAAAAAAAAAAACATCATGATTTTTTAAACTGTTATAATAATAATAATGATGCCAATAACAATAATGTTAGTAATGATGATAATAGTAACAGAAATAAAACTTCATGTAGGCATATTATATATGTAAGTAAAATAAATAAAAAAAAAACTAAGCAAAACCATACTGGGTTTGTGTATGTATCTTACACCAATGAGTTCAATGTTTATAATTTCATATTTTTCTCATGCTACAAAGTCCAATGGAAGGACATTATTCACAATTTTCTCTTGCCTTTCTCTTATTCTGCTAGTAAGCTATCACAAAACAAATACCTTAAAGATATCACTTTTGAAAGCAATATTGCATGCAACTAATTTCCCATGCAATGTCAACTCAATATTTACCTGAGTTTTAATTATGCATTAAGGAATGTTGGGTGAAAATAATGAGATCAGTGGCTTACTGAATTACATATGGTATTAGACAATATTATGGAAAAAATATAATATAACAATCTCAACAACCAGTCTTAAGAAAGGGAATGTCTGGAATTATTTCAAATGTTACAAAATCAATAATTCGAAAAAGTCAACTTCTTGTAATGATTACCAATTACTGAATGATGTGGTTATCTTTTACTATATCAACCTAATGTCAGCGGGTTTATTTACTGTCCCCTTTAGATTTTAGTGAGTTTTGTTACATACAGATGGCTCCACATGTGCTCAGCAGCAAGGAGTCTATCAGTTAGCCCTAGTGACTGATCCTGATTTCCCCATTCCTTGAATTGGTGGGAATATGCAGTTTTCTTTCCAATGCTTCTAATACTGATATTGTTATCATTCTTATTGATATCATGATTATTTATTTTTTTATCAAAATATCAATAACATCAAAAACAATAAAATAATAGAAATGAAGCTTTCAAAAAATGAAGGAAGAGGGTAAACAGATGAGACAGATTAAACTAATAGCTGACTCCTTTGTTACTAAGCAATTGTAGAACCATCTTTACGTAAAGACAATAGATAAACTTCTAATTACAGTGGGTATGGCATTGTAGTCTTGCCACCCACTGACATTGGCTTAAAAAAAATAAGACTTTATAATTTAAAATTTACATGACATATTGTAATATAAGAAAGATGATGGTAAATCAATAATAATGGACCACAAAGTAATACATATATAAAATGCTACCATTATAAAAAGGACCATTCAGAATAAAGATTTTGACTTGTGTATATAGGCTAACCAAACAATATCATCTGAAATGCAAATAGGATCTCCAACAAGTGTCTGTACACTCATTTTCAAGCAACTTCAAATTACTGATGTAACTAATCAACACATATCTCATTAAAAAGAAAGTCATTATTCTATATTTTGGCATTTTCTCTTACAAATCCACCTTTACCACACTAGATACAGATATTCTATACTTATTCTGACATCTGCAAGTACTCTCCAATTTGTTAAATACAAATGTATATTATAGTGCTGAGTACATAAACAAATGCTTTCTGTTTATCAAAGCCAGAAATCTGCTTGGAAATATTCCTGGAAGAAAAGACCTCCATCAGTCTGGTTCTTTTACTAAAAACTGACCTGAGACATCAGCTGTTTTTCTTTATTTATTTTGAGACAAGAAGAAAATAAAATGAAATGTTAAAAACAGCAGGGAAAGAACAGTTTGATCTGTTACCAAGAAGGTAATTATATGACTTTCACATAAAAAATATATATTTATGCTTGGTTACCATGGATTATTAGTAGAACTTCAAAAAGTATATCAAAGATATTTAGTGATTACTTCAAAATCAAACAGCAATCAGGAAAACTACAGATTTATCCCAAATTTCAAAACCCTACAGTAACAAAACTACAAAATTAATCACAAACTTCAAAATTATAAAGAGATCAGTAAAGCTTCAAAATTCTATGGTAATCCATAAAAGTCCCTACTTGAAACCATTACCGTGATCACAAAAGCTAAAATCATCCACTGATCAGTAAAACTTCCTAATCATACAGAAAACTATCACACTATAATCAACAAAACTTCAAAATAATGCAGTGGTCCGTAAAACCAAAAAAATCATATACGTAAACACCTACAAAATACACATGGACGGAAGAAACAGCTGCATAAAGAGCCTAACTGTAAACCTGTAAATATTCAAAAGGAAGATAGGTCACTTCATTTTAGCAGGAAGCTAACAAAACTACAATCACGAGCCAAACATCATAACACAAAATAAATAGAGGCCAAAAGTAAAACACTGTATCACAAAATCACAAAAAATCATAATATTTAGGAACTTTACGTTACTATATTTCCCACATTAAATTATGCTTAATTCATCTTTAACAAGCAAAATGTCATAAATTGATATTTATGCTCAGATCCTTAATACTATATTTTAAAAATTTAGGGTTAATATGTTTCTTGTTGTTTTTCTTTGCCTTTTTGATTGAATAGCAATATCTTTATGCCATATTATTTATACACCAACAAGACAAGAACACCAAATACAGACTCCACATCTAAAACCAGCTTATATAATGTATTGGTATCTATACGAATTTAACCATTCCTATCTTATTCACAATATATCATTACAGCAAATAGTTAAACAGTATATAGTCTCCTTGCTTATAAAGCACTAATGTCCTTCACCAAGAATATAACAATTATCTTTTGCTAACAGACTAATCTTACAGAATGCAAACACCTTCAACATCTCAACAGCATAGCATGCAAGGAATACAAAGCTTAAATAATAGGAGAGTAAATGCAATATTTGTGGGGACAATCGACAGAACTTCTAAACAATAATATAACAGATTCTGAAAGAATTCATTACTTGCAATACATTCTTGTAGAGATTAAACTGTCCACTGACATTCTCTGTATTTATATATGAATGCTTACACTACAGATGGAATGTTTACAATCACAATGAAATAAACAAAACTGTACTAAAAAATGTATAACAAATAACATAAATCCCATATCTAAACGTAACAGTTCGTATACCTTTAAGCAGGTCTAAATTTCTACATTATTTTATATACTTTAGTCTCAATCACTTATTACCTTCATTAACAAATTAAGGGGAACTTGAAATTCATATATATCTATAATTATGAAATCTGAATTCTGAATAGGGTTTCTCTATGGTCATAATATTTGTTGCTGATCTTATCTTAATATATTTCTATAAGAGCAAATATTGCAGATTTGATATAAAGTGTTTTTATGCATAATAATGACAGACATCATAAGAGAGAGTAGAGAAAATATACAAAATTGTATGATACTGGCACACTGTTTTGGTGAAAAGCTTCATTGCAGGATTTCTGCAATCCTCTTAAACAACAGGCTACTGACATTATTTTTCTATTTCAAAAAAATATATCCATTTCCACAAAAAATATACATATAATTCTTACCTGTTTATAAACAGTGCATCAATAAAGAAAATAAAGTGTCCACATGCTTAGACTTTATCTACTGTGTTTCTGTCTCATGATTTTTAATTTGATCAGTATTTCTTCAGGAGAGCAAAATGTATCAGGAAAAAAACTGCACAATATATTATCTAGTCCAAATATTTTTAAGCTAGTATTTCAGTTTTCAAGAAGCTACTGATATAAATCTATATTCCCCTGGTAATGCCTATACATGCATTAGTCATAGTATATTAACTAAAGGATTCATCTCCTGTGCTAATATTGAAAGACTGTGTGCAAATGACACAATCTACCCTACATGAAACTAGGCTTTGTTTCAACTAAGATAAAATATTAGAAGAAACATAATTACTCTACAAACAAACACTAAACATACCAAATCTATTGCGAATATGTCATGCCATTCTTAAAAATTCAAAGAGAGTATAATTATGAAAGAAGTTTGGATCATATTTTTTTCTGAAAAAAAAAAAAAAAAAAAAAAAAAAATCAAATCAAAATTAATAAAACTACCTAAACAGATGTTAGAGTACTGTTCAGAGGGATAAAAGAATAAACGTTCAACAAAATAATTCAACTTGAGGGGGTGAGGATAACAAAAATGGGTTCGGGATAGTTCTCCGAAGGTAATGAATTCCCCTTTTGGAGAGGATGGACTGATACTGAAGTGTGGACCTCAACTAGAAAGAGGATGAAGATCAGGATTAAAAGAAGATCCTGTTTTATGCAGAAGAAATTGGAATTAACAGAGGAAACTGGAATTAACAGAAGAAATTGGAATTAACAGAGGAAACTGGAATTAACAGAAGAAATTGGAATTAACAGAGGAAACTGGAATTAACAGAAGAAATTGGAATTAACAGAGGAAACTGGAATTAACAGAAGAAATTGGAATTAACAGAGGAAACTGGAATTAACAGAAGAAATTGGAATTAACAGAGGAAACTGGAATTAACAG